GGAGACCATATGCTGTGTCTGTTCTCTGGCTGCTCTCATGATGCACATGATGGCAACAAAAAGGCCACCAAAGAGTCAGAAGACAGCAGGTGTACAGCTTTATAAAGGAGAAGGTTTGCCCGCTCGCTTCTTTCTGCGTTCGTTCTTTATTCTCTTTCTCACACACATATTCAGCTTATTAATATAATGAATGGAGAGGCCAGTCAGCGTGACACAGACAGAAGCTGTGACAGCTACTTTACTTTTTATTCCTCATTGACTTTAAAATGAGCAAGTATTATGTGTTTCGCTGCCATCTCATTTACAACAGGCACACATGGTGGGTGGCTGATTGGAGGAAAACTGTGAATTCTAACAAATTCAGTGCCTTTAAGCATGCTCTCACACACAAACACAGGTTTAATACATTTTGTTAGTCAGTTTTGTAAAAGAAAAATCTATTTAATCAGTTTAGGGTGACAAATTGTCATGTAGGCACATTTCACCCATTTTAGTCCTGCGACATCGCTGTCACACCAAGCTTTTCTTCTCATAAGAAGGTTCCAGGAACACAAACAAATAGAGCTGGAAACATGAACCTTTAGGATTTTCTAAACAATCCCCTTTGGTATTACTCTTTAAACTTTAATATACCCACTGGTGTTGTGAAAGTTTCTATTTTTTATTCTCAAAAATATCTAACAGTATTTTTCTTCTATATTTAGTTTTATTCTATAACTATGGATTTATTTTGTATACTTTAACAAAAAAAGCCACTTAAGATAGCTGGTGTTAGGTTGTAAATAAATCATGCCATATCCAGTCTCATTATTTAGGCAGTGCTCACTCCTGCATTCTGCACATATACAATTGAAACCAGAAGTTTATTTAAAGATGCCTATCTTTTTGCATTCAGATATTAAATGAGACCATACCTTTGAGGATTCCAGGTTATTATAATGGTCAAGGTCATAAAGTAATTTGAGAATAGTTTTTGTTTTCTTTATCATTTTTTTAATGGAGATGTTAACAGACACTACCTTTGTTGTGGTAGCATTGTCGTTTAAGCTGTATGACCTGGGTTAAATATTTGGGTTATCCTTCCACAAGCTGCCGTAGTTTTGGCCCATTCTTTCTGACAGTGTCAGGAATCAGAACTAGGGACCCAGAATTAAAAGCAGACAGAGAGTAGTGATTAACAAAAGTGTTTATTAATGTATGGTGGATCTGCAACTCAGCAGCTAGAACGTCAAACGTCTGTAGAAGGAAAACTCAGGTTAGTGGCCACTTAAAACTGACAGAGGACGATTACGAGCGTGGGAGTCACTAACCTGGTTTTTGAGTTCAGTCTATGCCAAGAAGAAACAGTGGAATCCAGCCGGATGGCTAACGGCATGCTGAGAACACCGCCCAGGAAGTTCAGGAGACAAATCCTAGAAGGCTGCTGAACTGGCAGACGATTAGATGCAAGCAGACGAAGGAAGGCAGGACTTTCCAATTTTCCAGAATTCAAAGCCAAATCTGGTGCCGAAGAGATTAACAGGAGTCCAGGCCGGAAGATCAGAGATCCGAAAAGATATCAAAAGGAAATCCAAGTCTAAGTCAGAAGGCAGATCCTGGTTCAGTCCAAAGGCAGAAACCAGCAGGAGTCCAAAGACACATCACGCAAATAAATCTGAAACAGGAACAGGCAGGCTCAAAGGTGCTGAGGCAGAATTGGTCAGGATCAGGCAATCAGAACAATAGGTATGCAAAATAACTCTCACCGAAGGGTCGAATATTCTGGCACTGATGGCTGGGAACAAGCAGCTTAAATAGAGACAGGAGCAGGTGGATAAGATGAGCAGTGATGAGAAACTGGTCGAAGCAAGGCAGGTGAACACTATGAACCATTAAGCCAGTGCCAAGATAATGACAGACAGAACTGGGTTAACTGTGTTAGGTTTGTATTCCATTACCCTTGTACACACCTTATGGCTAAAAACAGTTTCATTAGACCACAATACATATATAAAAATAATAATAATCTCTTTGTCCCTGTGTACATTTGCAATCTGGCATTATAATTTATAATCTGAGCGATGGCTTCTTTTTTGCTTGGTGGTCTTTAAGCCCATGTTGGTACAAGACTCGTTTTTATGTATTTGCTGTAATAATCAGTCATGCAGTCGAAATACGTTGTAGTTGTTTGACACATTTAAAAACCTGGATTGGTCATTCCTTCTAATCAGAGTCGACCTGTACCAAACTCAGTGCTACAGTAAGTACTATGCAAACGGATTTGGGAGTCCTTTCTTAGCCCTTTCTACATATATGGGATCGATACGTAAAAGTTGACTGGCATATTTTTTAAATTATATTTATAGAGATGAGAGGGCTTCACAGAGACACTCTCTGTTACAGAGTAAATGCTTTCACATCTCTAATGCTGTGAGTTGTTTAGGCTCCACCACAACATCCAAAACAGTGAAAGGATCAGCAAATCTTAGCGTTTGAATCTTCTGATCATTTTTATTTAATTTATCTTTCAGTCGAGTGTCTGTAGGGAAAAATGCATCCTGCACATTGCACATACAGAAAACAAGAAGAAGTTTTTACAATTTTTTCCAAGTCTAAATCTAAACTAAAGTGTCAAACTACAGCCACTATTTCCCCGAATGAGACAAACAGCAATGCATGTGGCAGCCAATATTAACGTTTTTGAGTTGCATAAAAAATAATCCAGAGTTTTGTTGGTAAATAGAGTCTCTACCAGCTGTTCCAAACAAACTTTTTGTTGCAGTGTCGTTAAAAGGTTCAGCTGGTGCCATTTGAATTTCAAATGAGCAAACAATTTCTCCATGTGTTATGCTTTTAAGTGGTCTAATGTCTAAAAGGTACTTGGATCCCAACTACTGCTTTAAGCAGCCAACATTTGGGGACTGTACCAGTTTAATTTAGCCTGAGAAACAAAAGCTTTTCTCTGTGACTCAGTGAGTAACAATTCAGCTTAGATTTTTTAAAGCCTTTAAAAACATCAAATGTAAAGAGGCGGGTTTTCAGACATCAGGGGCTCCTTTCATCTCATTTTAAATGAATTTGGACACTATTAATTCATCTGAAGAGAAATAAAATAAATGTGTGAGCCAGAGAGAGATAGAGAAACTGAAAGAACTCCCAGTTTCTTACATGAACAATTAACACAGAGTTTGCTTTGTGCTCACATATATAAACTAAAGTCATTCTGTATACATGCAGATTATAAAAACTGCTTTCAATTCAATTTAATGTAATAGATACTTTCTTTTGTTATCAAGAGAAAGTCAGCAGTAGACACCTACAGAACATCTATTCTTGATTGCAATAGGTGGCTTTTTAAACACTGCACTGCATTTGATCATCATAAGCCAAAAATACAGTATATCAGAGAAGTAATTGCACCCCTCAATTTTTTTTTTTTTTTTTTAACAATTTCAATAATTTTGAAGAATATTGAAGAAGTGATACTGGGGGCGATCAGTATACAGCTTGTTTAACAGTTCCTCGAAATAACTCACTGGCAATAAAAGTGAATACACTCCAAAGTGGAAAAAAATGTCCAAATTATGCCCAATTATCCATTTTCCCTCCCCAGTGTCATGTGACTCAATGGTGTCAGAAGGTCTCAGGTGTGAGGTCTCATAGGGGGTTTAAAGCACACATGGGAAAGATGTCAGTAAACAACTGCTGATTTATAGTCCTTGATTTAGTCATTACAATATTTACCAGTATACCACCATTACATTATTCTCCATTATCTTGCAGCTGCAAAATATTTTAGATCAGTTAAACCTTTGTTAATGAAAACAAATACACTTTAATTGAGTTTTTTGTATCATACTGGCAAACTGGGGGTAAAAAGACTGGGCCAGGCTGTCATTTGTGCAAGAAATGCCAATGGACTCAAAGGCATGCTGCAAAGTAATAAAGAAAGGGTTAACGGCAGCTGCTCGGTTATTTCTTTTGCTTTTTTTTCCGAAATAATGGTCACCTCGGACTGAAACCAATCTGTAAACATGCTGGCAGATTACACAGTCCTCTACTCCTATGTGTAGCATGTCAGTGAATGAAGTCACATTTTAACAGGGCACTACCTCAGCAGCAGATTGCTATGCTGACTACCAGCGTGGCAGATGCTTTGAGTGTCTCAGTGCTGAGTGACAGTAAACTGTCAGGGCTTTTGTGTGTCTCTGCTGGTGTTTTTCATTTAAGATGCTGCCAGAGAGGGAGGCACCCACCAATGCGGTGGCAGCTGAGTGGAAAAAGCACAACGGGAGGCATATTTGAGCTTGTCAGACAGCAGGAATCTGATTCAGACTTTCAGAAAAAAAAATAAATATGAATATGATCCAGAAGTCCAGTAAATAGCAGCTGCCTCAGTTTAATTAGAACAAATCGAAACTGGAAATGGAAAACAGGGGAAACTACGGGGAGGTAATGTGACACTCTTTGCTGACAGTTAAAAGGTGGGGGGAGAGCTGTCCCACCGGCAGGCTGCTGTTTACAGTGGGGCAGTTTCTTCTTTTTCTGTCAGGCTGGTGCTGATCCCTCATCTTACGGGTCACAATTATGTGTTTCATCGCTTCCTGCTGCCATCCTTCCCCCCAACCTCTCTGTGAGCAGCATTTAATTGTGAGGGGCTGATCTGGGGAAAGGAGTAATAAGATGAGAACACAGGCAGGAGGAGGCACATGGCTACACATTCTCTAACATGGGGTGGGGGCAATGATAATACTCCTGCCTTGATTGAACTTGAGTTGCTTTCTTTGGTAAATTGGGAGGTGGGGCTGAGTGCTAAAAAACTGAGGCACAGAGAGGAGGGAAAGAACAGAGAGAGTTGCAAAAGGGTGATAAGGGGCTCTGTGATAAGAACAGAGAGGAGGCAGGGATAGGGAGGGAAGAGGCAAAGAGAGGAAGGGAGTTGGAGCAGTGAGAGGGAGTGGGAGGAAGAAAGAGCAGGGATAGGAGGCAGCGCAGTGCAGTGAGGGAGGGGGGGTGAGGAGAGATAGAGAACGATGTAGAGACAGGAAGCCTCTGCTGCTACAGAGCCAGTGAGACTCGGGCAGGCAGAGGGGGAAGACGAAGAGAGAGGGAGAGGGGGCCTCCTGGCATCTCTGAGACAGGCCCAGAGAGGGGGGAGAGGGGCTCCAGGAGCAACACAACGTAGAGAGAGACAGAGAGAGAGCAGTAGGTGGAGAAGGAGCATCGGCAGAGGAAAGAGGTAGGGCGATAAAATCAGAAGCAGGGTTTGGCAGGAGTGGAGGGAGAGGGTGGGACCTTAGCTGAGGAGGGAAAATAACACTGAAGAAAAAAAAAGTTTTGAAAACTGAGGGAAAGAATAGAATAGAATAGACAGAGCATGTGTTAATGTTGGAAGCCAGAGGAGATCCATGGAAGAAAGTCATCATCCGTCAGCATGTTCTCTGACAGTCGGGCCACTTCAACGCCCAGGGAGCAGAAAGGCTTCAAGACGCATGGCCCCCACTTCATCCCATGGCTGCGCAACAGTCTGAAGGCTCACCATGGCAGCGCAGACCTGGGGCTCAATGGGGCATACAAATCCAGCTCAGAGGCCCGCAACAGCCTGACCCCACTGGAGAGAGCCAAGGGGATTGGTTTGTTCTCCATCCAGGGAAAGGACCGGGCAAAGAAGGGGGAGCTCCGATGTAATGGCATGGGTAAGCTGCCAGTGGTGCTGAGGGGGAACCACATCCTGCCAGGCAGTGTGGGGAAGCAGAAGGATGAGAGTCCTGCCAAGTGGAACAAGACTAAAGAACTGGACGTGGACCCTATCACCAACACTCAGCTCAGCCCAAAGGAAGGACTGACTGACAATTCCTGCTCTGCACCAGAGAGCCAAAATGTTGGCCACACAATTCTCCGTCAGACGCAGAATGACACAAGCAGCCCCTTAGTGAGGAAATACGGGCCTTTGGTGGGGCCCCATCCTACACCTATACCTGTGCTGCTGGCAGAGAAGCCCAGCTGTAATGTGCCTGTTGTGGTGTGCATGGAAGACAGGGAGAGGAAGATGTGGGACTACACTAGTCACACCACCTACCACCAGAGAGACCTCCATTCATCCAGCTGGCTGGGCTCAGACACTCAGGAGCTCATGGAGAGACAGCATGGGTTCACCTCCAGCTTCAGCTATATCAACAAACACAGCAGGAGCTCACAGAGCCAGAGAGACCTGACAGCCCCGAGGGAGCCCCTGAATGGCCTCATCTTTTCCACAGAGACCCCTCCTGAACGCCTGGGCTGCTTCTCAACTCTAAGAGGCCAGAGGAAACCCAGGCTGAACTCAGAACAGATTGCAATCCTGGGTCAGAACCAGACATGGGTACAGCACAAATCAAACAGAGACCAGGAGCCACCGAGGAAGGGAGCAGGCTGCAGCAGAAAGGTGGTCCGAAACCAGATCAAACGAGTGGTGGACAACCTGGAGCAGGTTCTTACATCACTGAGGGACATTCAGCAGGAAATCAAAGAGGTAAAAAAAAAAAAAAACAATATCACAGCTCTTTGTTGATTCATGAATTGGTTCTCTGAAACTTCACCACATGAGCTGCAAAATTGTCTCATTTCTTTCCAAGGCTGAAGGGTATGAACATAAACAAATCAGGGCTTTACTGCATCCTTCCTCATTAATTTAGACATTATCCTCTTGCAGAAAATATTCTAGCTTTTGCAGAAAAAAAAACCTTGAGGGTAAATACAGATAACAAGACAGAATACAAATGCAAATTCTCAGCAGTATTAAACAAACAGAAGAGCATCTGCAGCAGTGATGCATGCAACTAAAACATGTTGCTGTTTCTAAAACTCTCCTTTCTGCTCCCCAGACACAGGAAAGTCTGGCACTTTGTGCTCAACTCGGGCATGCACTTCCATAAAGGTAGAAGACACAGTAGTTATGGCCCATTTGCCTGATGCATTCAGAAGATGTTTTAGATGATGCAGGGTGACATTAGGCAAAAGGCTTGCCTCTAACATCCTCTCTTTTTCACCACTTCTCCCTCCCATGCACAGCTGCTGCTCGGGGCACAGCTGGATGGTGGCCGGCGCTCTTTTATAATCCATTTATGTCTGAATATCTGTGCCTCGTCCAGTAAAAGTGACACGCAAATCTTTCCTCCTGGCATCTGATCAGAGAGGTCACAGCCAAACCCAGAGGTAGCAACTTCATCATCCTGACTTTAAAGAGTTTTACGTGACAGAGTTAACATCACGGTGATTAAAGTTTATATGGAATAGAGGAAGAAACACCAAAGAGTAATTGATAATCCTGCACGTAAAAACAGAGGCGACAAATGAAATGGAGAAGAAGATGCTGTAAAGTTGTGTGGGCTAGTTACTGTATGTCTGGTGCATAAGCAGCAGTGAGCAACTATTGCAAAAGAAATGGAGCATGACTACTGCATACTTGAATAAGAGGGATCTTATTTTGAAAAGGACCAACAAACAGCAACACCTACTTGGATTATCAAATCTTTGAGTGTGATTTTAGGTATTTCATCTATGACATACATTTAAATACACCCCCCTTTACTCTGAGACAACTAAATGAAGCCCAGTGGCTTGGTGAACAGCAGAGAGTAAGGATCGGTTAAGGAAAATGATTTGTTGTTCTTTTATGAAAGAACAAAACCACTAGAATCCTTGATTAAAGCCCGTAGCCAAGTAGACGACGCAGCATACACTGGAAAGAAACTTCCCTTAAAGTTTAACTTTATGCAAAATGTTACAGGTGAAGGAAAACTAACATTGAGGCTCTGCTGTGGAGACTGTGTCGGTAATTGCAATGGAGTCCTGGAAGAGAATCGGTTAGTAGATGGATTCACCTTCCAGCAGGACAGAAGCCCAGAAGGGAATGGTTTCAATCGAGGTTTGGCCTAGTCAAAGCCCAAACACCAAATTCAAGTGAGAATCTGTGGCCAGACCTTGACATTTAAAGTCCTTCTTCCAATCTGACTTAGCTTGAAATATTTGTACTGTTTTAGGCTCTTGATGTACATTGGTGAGAGAGTTATAGTGGAAAACAGTGGTCTACAAAGGGATTCGCCTTTTTGTAACCTTAAAAAAACTCTATAAAACGTGCAATTTTATTGAAATTATGCAATTATATGCTATTTTCCTTTTGCCGTGTGGCTGGCACAGAGAAATCACAGAAAATGCATGAGAGCCTGTAGGGTTCAGAGGGTGTTAATACTTTGATAGAGCAACAAATTAACTACATAGCATCTATTTTGTATGCATTAAGTGGAAAAGAATACCAGAAAAGCAGGGGGCATACATGAGTCTGACAGTGATAACCTGCTGATGCGTTCCAGTCAGGTTTTTTTTAAAACTGCAACATGACTCAGAACTTCAAGAGAAGAAAGTAAACTGAGGGGAACCGAGTAAAACTTTAATGACCAAGCTCAACAGCAAGCATCTCTTAGCAATAAAGGGTAAGCCTGTGTGTAGACCTGAGGGGTCAAAAACATTGTTTTTTTTTTTAAATTAACAACCTCAACAGCCGCAGCTGAAAAAGCAACCCTTTTATCTCCTGATATCTGACATTAACAAGCAGTACCTGCCCAGAGTCACTGGATGTGCATATACATACAGCATCTTCAAAGCTTTATGAAAGGCTTCACTCAAAAACAGCCACTGCTAGAAAAAAACAAAAGCAGACAAACAAATCAGGTCATTCTTTGGCATCGGCAAGGATGATGTTTAACACAGAGGACAAAACTCATCCTGCATGGGCTAAGGATTTATCTGTGCATACAGAGCAGGTGGTGAGCTAGGTCAAACATTTTCCCAAGCCTAATTTTCTCCAATCTCTCCAGCCTCCGTCCTCATGCAGCTGCCTGTGTGTTTGTGGGTTGTGTCGTTGTGCTAAGCTTTTATTAGTGCATGTGTGCAGAGCATACAATTATTATTCTCTACACCCATTTTGCATCCGGACATGTGTGTCTTCTTTTTGATATATTATGGAGCATGCTTTTTACTAGCCGAGTAAGATGCATTAGATGGGGGGGATGACTAAATTTAGCTTTCACGCCCAGGCACGTGCAGAGGGGGGGGCTAAGGGGGCTTGAGCACCTGCCCCTTTTGCTCCATGATCCCAATGTGCCCTTTTGGTCCCTTTTTTTTTTTTTTTTTTTTTATTATAATTTATTATTTATTTGACACATGTACTGAAATTATTATTATTATCTTTTCTTTTTTGGCAAGATAAACAATACAATAAGCCCTCCGATCACATTGTTACCTTTGACCTTTTGCCGGTGACGACGCACTTGCCTCTCGCACAGTCAGTAGAGGTGGGCGATACCGGGATTTTTTAATCGATCCGATACCAAGTAAATACTGGGTCAGTATCGCCGATATCGATACCGATACCGATACTTTTTACATTTAAGCTGCACTTGCCTGTTGCTTTTTTTCTATAAAGTTCTCAATCGTGGAATAAATAAGAGATTATCTAATGTTAGCTTATTTTAGCTAACAATTTTTAATGGGATAAATGTACTGGGTTTTTTCAAGGTCTTAACTACACTTTCTGAGTAATATATGATGTATAATGAAGTGCTGCAGACGATGACCACTGTTATCTACCTGGATATTCTCTGGAGGACTGAAACGCTTGGGTCAAAGATGTCTGTCTGAGGCTGGAGGCGGGTCTTTGGTCTCTCTCTCCATCCAAGTCTGAGTGAGCACTCACCCAGCAACCGGCAGCGCGGTTGTCTGTGTGACGTAGTGCTGAGTGGGCAGGCCAAGCTAAGCCTGCGCGCTGATTGGCTGGCGCCGCTGAGCCATGTGACTGTAGGAGAGGGGAGGGGGAGCAAAGTGCTGTTACACATATGGGGAAACTGGTGACTCCGCAGCAGTCAGCGCGCGCGAGAGAGGATAAAAAGTATCGATCTTGTTAAACGAATATTGTTCAATATAAATACCAGCGTTGGTATCGATAGTATCGATCCTGGGATCGATCCGCCCACCTCTAACAGTCAGATAAGGCGGCTAACTGCGGAGCTAAAGGTAGCGGATATTCCACATTACACTGTGGCCGCTGCTCATTTGGCCCTAAGCAAGATCAACCATGATCGGACGCATGGCTATGTCTTCAGTCTGCACTGCCTCTCCAATGTCAACCTGAATAGAGATGTAAGTGAAACCAAATGAGCCCCATGGATGATGCAGTATTGTTTGATCTAAAACACTGTTTACTCTGTGCTTTTAGTCTTTTACATTGAAAATTATGTTTTCTAATTCACAAAAAACTGGTCTGTAATGATTACAGAACAGTTTTTTTGTGAATTAAAAAACATAATTTTTGGTGAAAATACTGGAGTAGGCTTCCTACTTGTCAGACAACGGAAAACTTTGAACGTTGTATAATTTCTCTACTTTAGCAAAGAGTAGCGGTTTAAACGGAGGAAAGTAGTTCTTTCTCTGAAGAACTACTGAGCGGGAGGAGACAGCCAGGTGAGGAAAAGCTGTTCTTATCTATCGATTCAGTATTTGTATCATACAGACATTAGGCTGTTGTTCATGTGCTATGAGCTAACTGCTAGCTAATGACTTTGCTAGCAAAGCAAGATAACTAAAAAGCTTCCCTGTGTCGTTAATGACAGTAGGACATTCTTCAGTATTACTTATGCAATAGGGGCACATCGCCCGTCAAAAACCTATCATCTCCATAATGGATATATGTCTGATTTTCTAATTTCCTTTGCTGCATGATGTACATTTCATTTATTCTAGCGTTAGGTAAATGTATCTTAAAGGAGAACTCATCCAAAACTACCATGATAGATATATGATAGATATAATGTATGAAGCTGGTGAAAACAAAACTGCGCAGCTTATGCAAGGAGGATCGGTTGTCAGACCTTTTTGTTGGCAATCGAGAAGGATGTGCCAATCATTCACAGTGAGGTCATTAACATTTTTAAAGACATGGCTAACAGAAAACTGCTGCTGTGAACAAAAGAGAACAAAAATAGCAAAAATGCTTAAAAGATGGGAATTTGTTTTTAAACAGTTAAATCACCATGACGGAAAATAAGTTTTTGCATCATAATCTTGGATTTAGTTTGGGGGAAAAAGAAAGGCAAGAGAAATAAATAAGACATTGACCTTCACTCAACACAGAAAAGATGAGACAATGAGGAAAAAAAGAAAAGAGAAACTGACAAGAAAAAACGAAGAGGAAAGATTGAAGAAAATGTAAATAGGTACTTACAAAATACACTAAGACACAAACAGAGTAGGCTTTTCTCATGGTGACATGCATTAATAAAATGTTTGTTTTGTTCTTTTTTTTCTGCAGTTCCACGTTAAAGTTTGATGCAGCAGCTCTGCTTTTCTGAATGGACCGTCTCCATCTCCACTGTCAGTACAGCAAACCAGGCAGACATTCTTTTTTATAGATTACAGTACACTAAAAGAATGCATTGTGCCCTTGTATGCATTTTTAACAGTTTAATTCTGTAAAGACAAAATATGTCTGGTGGTCCAGCTCTGATTTACATCTTTGGCTAAATTGCAGGTTTGAATATTGTAATACTTTCCTATAACAAAATAGACCTGCAGAAAGAAATTACTAATAAAATATTTTACATATGCATAGTTCTATGTTCTATGTAGAGATTTCCCTTAGCTTTGATTGTATGTCTCACAATTTTGTAATTTATCATTGTTCATTAAACTCTGAAAGCTATGTGACTTTGTTAATATTCTGTCCTAAAATGCGATAAGATGTGCCCTTTTTTTTTTGAGCACCTGCCCCTTTAGTGGTCTCTGCACGGCCCTGTTCACGCCACTGTAACAGTACTCTCATTCTGTCTTGGATGATTTTAATATTTTTGCAATGCGACAAACAAAGATGCGAAGAAGGCCTCCTGAGATATTTATTACAGTTTTCTTTTTTAGGCATTTTAGATGTTTTCGCTTTTTTCCATTTAATTTGTAGGAAATGGGGAGCTGCCAGTTTATAAATATGAGAAAGGATGAAAAAGCTGTAAGATGAACGAGTTTTAGCTGTCTGGAACATTGGTAGATTGAGCATTTTTACTTTCAAGGCTCTAGTAGAGGGAACATAAAAAGATGTTCTGTTAGAACTGGTCGTTTAAATATACAAAATGGCTTGTTGTCGTTTACAAAGCTGATTTCTCTAAAGAGGTATTTTATTGACAATAGAGATTTAAATCTGATTCTAAAGAAAGATGGACTAAATCATCTAAAGTACTAAATCTATTCATGTTTTGGTATACTTCAGGGTCTCATAGTTTAGTTTCTGTTTAATTTTCTACATTGGTGTTTTATTTTCCTAGGCTATGACATCACATTTCACAGATATACCAATGATAATTTAAAAAATGTGAAATCTAGATCTGCGTTGTGGATCAGGTTTCAGAAATGTTTCATTGCAGCAAGTCAGTCCCGGGTTTAATTCCAGGTGTAGAGTTTGCATGCTCTTTCGATGTATATATTTCCAAACTAGTCAAACTGGTCACCGATTTGCCCTTAGGAGTGTGTGCATTGTTGTTTGCCCTGTCTCTGTTTTGTCCTAAGATGGAAAATCACCTGTTCTTATGTTAATCTGAATGTCGTCCAAAGACTGCTGGAGATAGGTGCCTGCTCCACAAACCGGCAAGGATGATGGCTGGATTGATGGAGCGTGCTTGAAACTTTTACAAACAGAGAAAGTTGTGCTAAGGCTGCAGAGTGGTGCAGTTTTTGAATTCTTGCCTAAAGCAAGAAGGTCATAGGTTTGATCCTCAGCCTTGGATCTCTCTGCATGGAGTTTGCATTTTTTCCCTGTGCTGTGTACTCTGACTTCTTCCCACAATCCAAACATTAGTGTTATTAGTGACTCTAATTGGCTATTAGGTGTGACTGAGTGTTTGTGTGTGTCTTTGTGATGCACGTTCAGGAACTACTGGAGACAGACACCACCACCCCTTCACCTTGATGGAGAAGCGGTAGAAGAAGGATGGATGGAAAATAGCGTAGCTTCCTAAAGATGAAATAGTTTCTTTCTTTAAAGGCTCCAAAATATAGTTTAATTCTTCACTTTGCCCTCTGTAGAATATTTCGAAGGTCTTTATGTAAGATTCACAGAGGGTTCTAGTGTAACTAGGTAAAAATGTTGGAGGTCAGTTTTTACAAGCCTATGGAGTGGAACCACATGTGTTTGTTTTATAATTCTAACCAAGACTGGCAGCTCGTTTTCTCTGTGATCTTTTAACTCTACATACTCAAACCCACCGTGTCACTAATGTCGGCTGAACAAATGCTCCCTGTTGTTTCCATTCCAGGCTAAAACTAGAGGAGAATGGGCCGTTGTAGGAGCTCTGCCTGGACTGTAGAATGAACTTTTTGTACCAATCGAGATCAACCCAAACCGCATAATTATTCACTTTAAAACCAGACTAAATTGTTTTGTTTATTTTCATTGTCGTCTATATTCTTAATTAGTACTGCACCAATTTACAGACTCTTATTGTGCCTTTTTATCTAAAATCATGCAATTAATAATAAATAAAATGGTCCAAACCGTAGCTAATCCTGTGATATTCTGACTTAGTTTTTGTTTTGTGTTTTTGCTATAGTTAGATAAAAACATAGCTTTCTGCATCATTAATAAAGCCCTATTTGATATGAATGCTGAAGGTTGTATTATTGATGCCTTAAGGGCTCAGATGTCCTGATTTCACTGTCATCATCTGTTTTGAAGAACTTTCTGTGGGGAAAAGATGCATCCTCAGATGCACAATCAAGGAGGTGTATGAAACATTAATCACACTGAACAAAGGTGGACTTCAGTCACGCAATTTGAACATCTGCCTCAATGCTTCCTGTAATCAAGGGGCCCCCAAAAGCAGCAGGTTTATTTATTATTTGTCTATCATCTTGTCTGCTGTACAGCGCTTCTTTATAACTTCCTAAACATGTGTATTGCTGAATCAAGGTGCACTGGAAACTCCTCGACCTTTTATTGAAGGCAATTTAAGGAAATTAGTGACTCAAGGATGGCTGCATTTGAAATGAGGGAGTGCAGAAAATCTTAGTTTTCTGTTTAAATGAATCAGCGGTTCACCCACTACTTCTATGAGTGGCTTTTGTGGAATAAATAGTGAGTAAATTATAAAGACCATCATGTGTTTGTGGTTAATCTGTCACCAAACCATAAACATCCCCCACATCCTCAACACAATTTGAACTCAACATGAACCGTAAGACATATTTAACATTTATAATGGACTGGATTTTCCCTCTGAAAAGAAATGGTTATAAATTTGACATTTTAATGTCCAGATTTGAATTATTATTATTGCTTGTTTAAGAACAACTGTTTACTGTTGAAAATCGTGTGTGTACAACGTTAAGATATGGTGTGAAGAAAGCTGTTACTCTGTGTAAAAATCAGACTAATCAGAACAATCAAAAGTATTCCCAGAGTATTCCACAGCAAAATAAGTTTGTGGTGTCAATCACTGCACACAGTGAGAAGCCTATTGCGGCTCCTCTGCGGTGAGGCGAAAAGACAGAGCTGATGCACAGTAGGGAAGTTGTAAGATATTGTTTGCCTCATACTTGCAAAGCCTCCCTTTCATCTAGAAATTAGGAAAGCTTTAGTTTTTTTTTTGCAATTAATACTTTAAAGTATATTGGGGTTTCTTCTGAGATACATCTAGAATATGAAGAAAGTTCTCAAAACTACAGGCTTTAAAAAAACAAAAACTCAGGATCCCTGTTATGTTAGTTTAAATTTATGGAACAAATTCCATAAAGCATCTGAAACAAAGGCAAATAGAATCTTGCAAAAGTATGGATTCTCCTTGAATGTTTTTTATTTCACATCTTGCTATGTTTCAGCATCAATTCAAAATACTACAAGGTGATGCACAGTTTGTCAAGACAAAGGAACAAAGCAGATACACCATACTGTAGATAGACCTTCCAGATCAGGACTGCCCACCAAGCCTTTCGGGTCATGTAAGGAGAGAGGTCAATCGGAGCAGTTCAGGATAGCTGCATAAAGATTTTTTTCATGCCATGTAGGGTGCATGTGTAAATTATGGAAGAAATTAATGGTCCGGTGGGACCAAAACTTAAGTTTTTGGTCTTCAAAAACTGTGTGGGGCGAGAAATTAACATTGCTTTTTACAAACGATAGAGGTTACATCATAACCCGGGTGCTTTTTTGGAAGGGCTGCAAACACAAACATATCATATTTTGATCCATTCAGATAATATTTTGTTAACCAAGGTACATTTTCCTTCCAGTCCTTAGTTTTACACCATCATTTAGTGGTCAGGTACATAAGTTTACATTTGTTCAAAATGAATGTTCACCAATGATCACCAAAAATAAAACACCTTTAATTGCTTTCTGTTCATTGTTTTAATTCTTTGTAATAATTAGAGCAAAAAGCCATTAGCAAAGGTGTAGATAAATAAAAATAAAAGTCTAATTGGGTATCTGGAGATGCTTTCATGACCCAAAGTGGCTTTGTGGCCCTCTCTTTGGGAGTTATTGAGACCAACATAAGTAGGAATCTAGAAGAAGTTGATCATTATTCAAAAGGGACCAGTTGTGATCTTAAAATGCGCATTATATATTTATATATAATTTTTTTCAAGGATATGTTTATAAAAACATTTTATAAATACTGGCTTCAGATCTGTCAAAAATATCTACGAAGGGAGCTTTAAAATATAGCAAAATCTATTTGCAAGAGATATTAATTGTTCCCTTCGGGAGAGTGTTGCGGCTAATTAGAGTTTTTATTTATAAATCATTCTCTGTGTTTTCTAGGTTGTGCAGCAGATTGACTATCTAACCTCTTCCATTGATCTGGATGATGAGGAGCAGCAGATAGCAGGAGAAGAAGCTAAGCCTCCCAGCGACAGCAGCTACAGTTCAGCTTCTAGCTCCAGTGAGGTGACAGTACGCAGCGCCCAGCAGAGGCCTCCAAGAGCTGAAAACCGGTTGGTGGACTCCGATGGTTCCCCCAGTGGAGAGAATCACAGCAGAAGTCTGCCTTCACAGAATGGCCAGCTGCACTCCATTACCACAGGCTCGCTGTCTGAAAGGAGTCGGACTGTTAGACTAAGTTGTGGTACCATGCTCTCGCCAAGAAAAAGCGTATCTCGAGCACACACAAACTGTCCTCCCTGTTCTAATCCACCCCCTCCTAAAAACCCGACCACCCAGGATCAAATTCAGTCTCCTAAAGGAAACATCCCTGCGCGACCTCCCACTCCTGGGCTTTCTCCTCTAACAGTGAACCTCCATCACCCCAGCAGCCCTGGATCACAGCCTTCCTCCCCTCTGTCTCCAAAGCTTTATCCACCTCCCGCCCTTAGCCCGTCTGTCATCATAGAGACCAAAGTCGGGTCATATCAGACCCCACAAGGCGATCTGCCATCTGCTGGACCGTTCTCATCATCACTAACCCACCCTCTGTCTGCCAGCTGCCCACCCACAAACTCTGAGACCAAACGTTTGTCCCAGCGCGACAAAGAGCGGCGAGCATCCTCAGCGGGACCCTCACATGCCTACGCTATCAACGCAGGTACAGCTAAACCCCCCACAGGACAGGGCAGAAGGGGCCGCAAGCCCCCACCTTACCCCCATCACAGACTCTCCGAGCCCCAGAATAAAGTAAGAGAGGCCAGGAAAGCTCCTCCGTACCCAGAGAAAAAAAGGCTGCTCTCTACCACGGTGTGAGACAATGCAGCAGAAGGGGGGCAGCCAATCGAACGGAGGCAAATAAACAGCACCAGCCAAATGTCTGCCAGAGTGGGGAGTGATTTAAGGCGGTGTAAGGCTCGCCAACTTCAGCTGAGATCAAGTTTCCAGGGTGACAGGATGCAAAGGTAACCCAGGGTGAGTTGCTAAAGCCAGGAACAACTGCCTATTTCTTTCCTTTCCCTCTCTGTTCTTAAATCTCCTGGGTACGTACACAGACCATAATGACATCTGCTTGGCTTACCGATCAGGTAACAAGAGCCTTTGTGCAGATGTTCAATTTGCACCCCAGTTCTGCGCCTCCCACAGACTTCACAGCTAAAGGGCAAAGGGGAAGGCATTATTACCCAGAAACCAGAAGGAAACTGCAATTACTTCAGAATGGTGAGACAAAGATAGAGGTCATTACTTTATTGCACCTCAGCCCATGCATCCAGTCATATTCACTCAGATGCATCAGCATCGCCTGTGGTAGGTAATTGCTGTCAGGAGTCGTGATGCTATGATGAGAACTCGGTGCAGCTCAAACTACTGTGGCACAGCGGTGTAAAAACACATACAGGAGAGGCAAGGTCAGAGATCTGTGGTACGTCTAGAGGCAAGAAAAGCTCTCAGGAAAAGAGAAGCTTGGCAAGGCCACAGAGGAAAGGTACAGGCCAGCATTGGGAGTCACGTCAAGGGAGACAGTGGGCAGGTGGCCATACGTTGTACCCTTCACCCAACCCCCTCTGTGTTGCAAAAAAAATCCCATCTCCTTTGCTGCCTCTGGAGCGACCCACCTGGCCACAGCCTCCATCTGCTCCCCTCTAAATGTCAGGGGGATGCAACAGGAAAGAAACAAGGAGCTGGTGTGTTAGAGAGGAATGCCAGACAGATTGATTACATAAATACAACACAGAAAATCAATAGTTGTTTCATTTAGGACATGAATGCTGCTTTAGTTTATCCTTTTTTTCTTCTTGGTGACCCTTTTTTTGAAGGTTAAGGCTCCTGCTTGGTTACAAATTATTCTGTTGTGAACAAATTCAATGAAACGATCAAAATCAGCAGTTAAGCTCATTATATTTACCCTGCCTGACTGTGCCACACATGCTCATATCAGAATCTGTTGGGTTTTTTTTTACACCTAAGCTGTTTCCCAAGACAGGCATTATCAGATTTACTCAGTTTTCTGGGAATGACTAAAAGATACTTTTATGTGAAACTATTTTCAGACAGAGATTAGCTGTCAGCTTATCCAGAACCAGGATGTGAGCCTAAATCAACTAAATTAGACTTCTCTGATTTTTTTATGTAAATCCTTTAAAATTCTGAGCGCAAACTGAATCCAAAAATCTTTCTTCTACAAATCTTGATTAAACACAACATGTGCCTCTGAAGTACGGTACCCTGCATGAGCAGTTTATCCCGGAACTGAAAAACTATGCAGTCTGAATGAGGTGTTGCTTAAATCAGACACATTGGAACCACAATTACTAATACACGGTCTGAAACACTAAAATTAATATATAAAAAAATTAAGCAATATAAAAATTTTAAACTTTTAGATTAATAGTCAGCTGTCCACTTTCACCATAGCTTTTGGCATAATAAACTCACTTTGAATGCAATATCTCATAAGTAGGTAATAGCTTTAAGCAACTTTTAATCATATGACTCAAATTAAATCACATATTTCTGGATTTAAAATTGAATATATAAATAAACATGAGTTGAATTTCTCAAATGTTTTAAACAAAAAAAAATATTAAAGTTGATTTAATTTTAACTTATCTAACCTGAAAGCTAGAAAACAAATATATACCCAATTATATTGACTCCATTTAAATAGGTTTGTCAGTTAAAATCCAAACAATCCAATCAATTATTTTCTAAATGAATCACAAAAGTGGCTACAGTGTACAACGCCTTGTAAAAGCATTTATGCTTTTTCTTTTACCCTGAAGTTCATCACATTTTGTCACCTCAAAAATTGGGTTTTAATTTGACGGACAAAAGTTTAACCAGATTCTCATTGTGATTTTTGTTCTGGACTTTGACTGGGCCATTCAGCACACAAATATGCGTTGATCTCAACCATTCCCTTGTAGCTCTGGGTCTGGTTTAGATGGCAAAGATAACACAGAAAATCATGTTTTTCTTCTCCCCCCCATTTTTTTAAACAAACAGAATAAATACATCAAAGACCGCATCAAAGATCACTCGCTGTGCTTTGAAAAATATTATGTAATTTATTCTTCAAATCGTACACTGTCATAAATGTAAAAAAGAGGGGCCTGATTAAAGTTATTTGAAATTATAGTAGAGAAGATTTTGTGTTATGGAAAGTATTAATACCTGCTGAAATTTTCTCAGGTTAAAAACACAAACATCAATGAGTTTCATTGGGTTTTTAATAAGTACATTAATACTATCTTGCAAAGATTGTGAATTGAGAGAAAAATAATACATTGTTTTGAAAGGATTTCAATGACTTAATCTGTATTCAAAGCCTCTCAGACAGTTTATCCAATTTTAAGATTTTTAGGTTATGTTTCTACCTGTTTTAATAAATCTAAAAATTGAAATTTGTGCACATTGTTTTTGCAGCACAGCTCCTGCTGGTCATATTGGATTGAGTAACCATAAATATCAATTGTCAGTTCTTTGAACAGATTCTCAGGTTTTGACTTTGACCAGACCATTATGACACATTTGCAGCTGGTTTCCTATTTAAAGATTAACTTCTACTAATTAGCTTCATGCGTTTTACCATCAAGTCTGAACTGTTTGCTTGACCTGAAGAGAACAATAAGGCAATTCCTTCAGCGTTGTGTTTGAACAGTGCGGTGTTTGTTTTCTAACATGTCACATCAATGCTTTGACCAGCGTGAAATGCTATGCTGGTTTTCCTCTACACAGAGCATTTTTTCCAAAAATATCAAAACGATAATTTGACCAGATCTCCTTTCTAAAAAAACAGGATTTCTTTTTGATTTTCTCTGAACTACTTTCAGATGATGGACTGAACAGTACTGCATGAGATCTTCGTTCACTGAGCCCTACACTACTTCTAACACGTTCTTATTCTTCATGATTAAGGAAGGGTTAGATTATTGCACTAGTCTAAATTCCAACGCATATCACACCTTTAAGTTTTCATTGGTAAAAAAAAATAATAAAAGATTTCCCTTGAGAATCACATATAATAATAGCATTAAGGAGTGTAAGACCTTCGGCAAGGGATTATATACAGTCTGCATTCACATAACCCATCCTTTTAGCTAGAACTAAACTAGAGCTATGACATATCCATTTTTTATCTATAACATGCCTCAAACAAGCTGTCATCTCAGCTCCAAATCATTGTACGTGTTTCTCCTGATAGTTTCCTGCGATGTGAGGAAGCTGGATGTAAAGCTTTTCTGCTGGTGTCAGACAGTACACAGAGCTGGTGATATGCGCTTCGGCTGACAGAAACAAGGCAGCTCTGGGCCCCATAGACAGAGTGAGCAAATGGGCAAACAACAAGCTGTTCAGATACTGAGGTTTTTAACTCAACAGCTCAACAGAAACAGGTCAGAATTTGGCCATCAAATTGCTGTAGAAAACAGAGACCGCTTTGCTGTAAAGGTATAGGCTGTCAGGAAATTACTTAAAGGTATAGTGGAGGATGTTCTTTTTCTGGGTGGATCATCAAAAGTGGTCTTCCTAATTGTCATTCATTCTTGTGATATGTTTACATAAGACCGTCCTACATGCTCGTCCCCATTTTATTTATTTTTATTTTATTTACCGATAGGGAGTCTGACATAGTGGGAAAATTGAAAATCTCCTTTTGGAAAGTAAGCTTGTATGAGTGATGCAAACAGCAACTTTTAAACAGAGCGTGCACGAGGAGAAATGGGCTCATGCAAGCTCTTGCACACGTTTATTAGGAGTTCCCTCTTGGGAGCGAGTGCAGGGTTGTGAATCTACATTTTTTTTAAAGTGGAGAGGGTGGGTCTTTTCAAAAATTTGCAAAGATCCTCTATTATACCTTTAATCATTGGCAGCTGGCCAATAGAGGACGCTAGGGCGTCGCCCCACCACAATGGACCTGATTAAGACATAAAAAGAAAAAAAAAACATTTAGCAACAATAATCAGCAGTCCAAAGACAGATGGAGATGGTACAGTCTGTCCTTTTCCAGGACCTGGTTTAGCTACAAGACTTGGCTAACTGCATGCAGCAAGGCCAACGCTTTATTCTGCTTTCCCTGTTTCAAACGTCAGGATCTGACCCAGCATGGATAGACAGGTAGGCCAGTTTTAGAGCACTTTTTAGAAAAGGCAAAGAATGAACAATCTGGGATTCACATGGAAATTGACATGATATAGTCCACTTTTTGTAGATGTTTGTTAATTTGCATGGTTGTTCTTAAATAAACACAATCTCAGAAAATAGTTTTTATATATAAAAAAATATAAAGCTGACTAATAGCTTCTCATTTATTAAACTGGTAGTGCATTATTTTTTTAGGTCTGTGACATCATATTGGAGCATTCAAAACCCAGATTTGCCTTCAAAAAGCTTCAGAAGGGCAAGATTTATGTACAAAAAGTAAACCTGTTCATGAAATGTTTTTTTTTTTAGTGTTTTTATAATGTTTTTTTGTCGTTGGCTTTCATATAAGTATATTTGTGTGAGAACTTGTGTACATTTGATTGGTTTTTGGTATACGTCTATTTTGAATTTATAGCTCCCCATGGAGAATACTTGCTATTCCAGTTAAGTTTTCTGCAGGTGAACAAAAAAACTCATAATATTCAGACAAAAAAAGCGCCTGAATGGAGTGTTTTCAGCTTTGGCGTGTGACTTGTGCATGCAACAAACCAACCCGTTAGCACACAATCTAGATTTTCTCTGGGCTTAATGTAATGATGGATAAATCCCTCCTGACTCTCTATCTCAGTAAGCCCACAAAGATCAGCACTCTATACATCCCCATATGTGCCTCTGGATTTAATAGATCCTCTCTGCAAAGCTTCCTCTCCCTCCAGAAATTAACAGGAGACAATGAAGGCTCTCTATCTCTTAAAAAACATTTATTTGAGGACAATATATGTTAATTGACTATGCTTACTGAATACATTTTAAGGCTACATTTTTATTACTCTAGCAAAAAGGGTCTCATACATTCTCATTTAGAGGTTCTGCTTCCCTAAACTGGTCCAAATTAGGAATGCATTAGTAGTGCTTCTAAAAATTATGGTTATTGGACAGATAAGATGGGACATAAAAATGCAATCCTCGCTTTGGCCCGACCCTGACAGCGCTCAGAATATTTAACGCCTCAACACAGGCAATCAAATTCCTCCTCTCTTTTCATGTTTACCCTTCTGACAAGGCTACGGCAGCTTCAATCAGACCTCGACTGATGTAACCCGACAAAAGCACAAGAGTTATCTGCACCATGGTGACAATGTGTCTTTATTCAAACACCCATCAAATTTCATCACGATTCACAGCAATCAACAGGTAGGAAAAAAAGAGAGGATGCTTCTATGAAAATAAGTAACAAGCTTTGTTTTCTCAGTTAGGTCGAGATCCGGGAGTGATCTTTTTTCCTATTCTGACCCTCCCCTGAGAGAGACGGAGAGCCTGGACGGCGACAAAGGGACCCAGCTGAACTCCAGGGAGACACGAGATGAAAGACGCAGAAGGTACACCTATCCCAGCTAATCCAAGAGCAGAGTCAAATCAGAGAAATCCTTAAATCTGGATTCAATCCTTTGGGCACTTGCAGTGTTTGAGGGTTTGGATCAATGCTGGTAAGATAAAGAGGTCGCAACGCATAGGAGAAGAAAGAGCAGAGAAAAAGAGGTGGGAGGCATGTGATAATGAAGCACTTCTGAAACCTGCACAGTGTGCTCACTGATCCCCACATGTGGCACCGGGAGATGAAAGCAAACGGTTCAAGAGGGGCCCGCGAACGAGTGCTGGCATTTTGATGCCTCACCTGGAAACCTCCAAATGTCTGTGCATACTTTCTATTTCATCACTTCGGACATCTTTAGGCTCCCCATGATCGTTCCAGACTCCCATTTCTAGAGGTTTCCAATGATTTCATAACATTCTAAGTAGAAAGTTTCAACATCAGTGATGAATCTTACTTCCATTCATCTGTAAGCAACTGATGTTTCATTATAACTCAGCACAGTGGGTAACAGCTTTTTAAAACAGCCTTTCAGCATATGACCAAACTGAAATCAGCTACATTTCAAAATCTAAAATCCTACTTTAAAAAAGACAGAACACAGACTCTGGATGTTCCAGACTTGAAAAAAAAAATCAAAGTGTCATGAAAATTTGAATAAATTTAAGTTTTTATAGCACATAAATGAAAAGTTTAGGAACCAGAGATTCTTAAAAGTTTTAAAAGTTCTTCCAATTGGACTGTGAAAAGTACTGAAATTCTGATCCCTTTTGAATTTTTAAAAGATTGGGTTTTCATTTCTGGCACGAGTTGAAAAAAATATGAAACTTGTTAAAGCTTTGTCTGCTATCACAGCTTTCAATATCAACTAAATAAATTAATGTCTTGAAACTCATAGCTCCTAATAATCCATCTCCTAATGTTTCCTGAAAACATTTGTCATGTCCTCCCCTTTATCTATATGAAATGTTTATGTATGAGCTGGAACAGCCTGTGAAGGTGCAGTTACCTTTGGGGGACGATAAAGAGTGAAGCTAAAGGATAAAGGAACCCATTTGAATGCAACTTAATGCAAAAAGCCCTTAAGTTTTTTTTTTAAATATGCTTTGACTGTTATCTCTTTAGTAAATAGAAAAGGGAACAATGTCTGGAGAAATTAACCAACCAACACGTTTTCATTCCTAGTTTTCTTTTCCAAATCAAGAAGCCAGTGGAAACCAATTCCTGGTATCTTATTTAACTGAACGTTAAAAAGTTTCCGTTATTAACCAAAAATATGTAACATTACACTAACAAAGGTTTCAAATCATTTTAATGAGATTCCAGAGAGGTAAAAGGAAGAATGGAAAAAGAAGAATGCAGCTGTGCCCCCTCCCCTACCTGTTACTTCAGACTGGTTTAGCAGTGCAATAGGTGATGTAAATAGCATTGATACATACACTTGTGTTCTATCTTGAATAAAAGCAGCACAATCCAGTTAAACTCTTCAATTCCATTGCATAACATAAATTCCATAGTCGTCATATATAAGCCAATGGATGTCTTAAACACCTCAACAGTTTGCAAACCCTAAAAATATATATATTTTTTTCAAACAGCTTTGTCTTATCAGGAAAAACAGCAGAAAACAAAAACCCAGCTTATGTTTGGAGCAATCAGATGTGGTGCTTTGAGTCATCTGCAGCAGATGTAGATAACGAGACGCTGAAGAGCTCTCCATCAACAGCGGGGCGGATTACAATGAGTCGGAGCAATATCTACTTGTTTAGATGTGTGCTGCTTCATAATATCGGGGATAACTCACTCTCCTCCCAGGGCTACACATCATGCATAAATCTCCTGCTAATCTAACATGAATCTATGCTGGACAGATCCCACTCTGACGCCAACCTTTATATATTAAGACACCCGGAAGATCAAGCCAGAATCAATTTATATGCAGGTTCAGAAACTTAAAAAAAAAAAACTACTGATTTTTTCTTTGTCTGCATAATCAGCTAAATCATCTTCATTTTTAGTCGAGCCAATCTGAAATTCCCAAAAAGAAAAAAAAAGAAAAGTGCTTGACATGTACTGCAGCTGGCATAAAGTCTCCTCAGGCCACCATCAGTTTCATCCTGCTTCAGTTTTAGGTTGTTCCTCAGGACTAAATCCATGGTTCAGTCATTACTGAAGGTGCTGTGACTGAGCATGACTTCTGTCCAATCACAGCTCATCGTGTCTGGTTCGTCCAATGATGGTCAGCTTGGAAAGTTGAGCGCTGAACTTTCCATCATTGTGGGTCACTGGAAGCGAAAAAGGATAATGGATTACTGTTGCAGCCACATCCACTAGAGAAGAGTAAGCATTAGACTGATCAGTAAGAAAAACAATATTTGTAATAGCGGGAACACTTGAGCTAAAAATGAGGCGTCAAATATGCCGTCCTGAGGAGAACTAGATTGTGACAATTTTTCTATAACCTAAGAGAATTCTAGGGATGAAAAAGATGTTGATTTTAACCTACTGTCTTACATTTTTTCCTCTTTTACTTTTGTACATTTAGTCCTGACCTTGCATGAGGCATCTTATTTTTTTGGTTAAAAGCATTTTTAGCAAGTAAAAAAAAACGTAATCCCAATCTTTGTTAATCGTTGCTTGAGTTCAGAAATAGGCAACAACAATAAAATGATTGCACTGGCATCTTTCCAAGTAAAGCCAAGAAAGCTATTTTTTTTTTTTTTTTTTTTACTTTCATGGCAAAAAAAAGTTTTAGTGCTTGTTTATTGTTCAAGGAAGAAACCCTGAGAAGGATCTTCTCCATCCCCAAAAGCCCATCAGTCTGGATATTTAGGGTGCAGACTGTAAATTGACCTTTCTTCTATGGACAGCTGTCACCTCTAACACTTTATAATCACACATTTATAAAATTTATATATATTAATGTTAAAGTATGTTGTGACGCTCAGCAGGCAGAAATTAGGCAGTAGATTTAAAAGCACAGCAGGTCTATTTTCCAACCGTATGGGATGCTTGGTGTGAGGGATTGCTGTGGAGTCAATGAGTCGATGCAATCCGCTGGTTTTCCTTTGGTAGAAAACTATGGACCAATCTGTCTGTATGTTCTGATTGAACTGTCTCTGTAAAGTGCCCTGGGATGACGTGTGTTGGAGAATGGAGCTATATAAATAAAACAAATAGAATTGGCTTTCCTCTGAGGGAATCTTTCATTTAGCACGCCTTTATTTAGTTTAAAGAAGTTCCCACGCCTTCTGTTAGACACTTACATGCTATTTTTCCCTAAAGTAAAAGCTAATGCATTATAACTTTACATATCTATCTTATTTTCCTACTTTAATGCAGGTATATTTAGTCAGAAATAACCTCTTGCACTGAATACAAAAATCTACATTTAAAAACTGATGGTTATAAACTGAAATAACACATTTTAACAATATTTAACACAAATATAACTGTAAAACTCAATAATACTAAAAAGTCAGATGAATTCTCAATGAAAAACTGCTTTAAAAATCTTCTGTATGAGCAAATGTTTTCCAACCAAAAGTGAAGCGTGAAATAAAACACTGCTGGATTGTTCTTTTAAGCTCAGTAACCTCAGTAAGGTTAGAATAATTATCATAAATTAGTGTTTATCTTTGCTCCCCCGTGTTTTTTTTTTTTTTTTTTTTTTTGCTGCCTGCTTATGAGTTTAAGATATGAAGCAGATGAAAATCTTTCCTTTCTAGCAATTACAAACTCTTCTATATCATTCCATTCATTGTGAAATATACAAGCGAACAATTATATTTTCTTTCATATTTCGTAGCACTGAAGAAAAATGTCAGATTTTTAACTGTGGAAAGCTGTGGATCTATATTATAATCTTAGATAAAAAGAAACCATTAAAATATGTATGCGTTTGGACCAAGATAATTTAGTTATAGTTTTAGTATCTTATATCCAAGTTTTTACCTGTAGTTACCATTTCTTCCTATGGGTGTCACTGAGTTACTCAGACCTGAACATCCCCATCTAGTGTTGCAGGAGAAGCAGGAACATTTAAAAAGCTTTAGGACGTGAGTAATTAAAAAGCCCCTTACATACTGTACTACACGCCGATAAGCAATCTCTGCCTGGAATTCATTGCTCTCGCTGTTTCTCAGTGATGGGATTATCCTTAAGTCTGTCATCGTCGCCGAGTTTGGAGCCTGTAAGCCTCCGTACTTTAGCGTCTAATCTGCTGAAAATGACAGCCGAAGTAAATTGCTGGTCGGGGTGACTTGTCAAACCCTGCTAATCACAGCCTGGAACTGAAGCCACAGTGGGGATTTGTGCAGGAGCTGAAGAACAACAAATAATGCTACAGGGACAACTGTAAAACCCACTCACAGCTGGAGCGTATGCGTCGCAGGAGGAATCTGTAGGAAGCTTGCAACGTGATAATGGGAGGGTAGGGAGGTGTGGAGGCAGAGAAAGAGACGGATGTGACAGGCAGGGGGAGTTGATTGAACACTTGGAGACACAATCAATTTCTCACCTGTTGATTCTCCTATGGTAAATTCCTCTGGCTTCAGAGGCACATCATGCTGTCCTGCTGCTGCTGTTTGTGACTGGAGTTTCATCCGGAACGACGAGGAGGAAAAGTTGGGAAAAACAACAACAAAAGAATTAGGAAAAAAAAAAAATAAGAGGTAGCATAGAGAACAGTGTCATTTGCAGTGTGAGGAGAAGTAGGAATATATTTAGATTTAGTAGCAAGGTCAAAGCGATGTGTTTCAGTAGGGAAGGTTGTTTCAGTCCCCTCACTCAGTGAAGTCATTTTCTCTTTTTCTTGTAGGGCACAGAGCCAGAGCGGGAGGAGGAGGCATGTTCTCTCCCTCTCCATTTCTAATGACACCAGTGTTAGGACTGTCCTTGCTGGGGGAAAGGAGGCGTGTCAAGGGGTGCCTCGCATCGCCTCGCCTCATGGACCACGACCGCATCAGCTGCGGCCGAAAGTGACTGACCTCAGAGTCCAGACATTAACCTTCCACAGAAAGCAGTCTGTGCAAAGACAACTTCAAGTTTGACTCCAAAAACTAAAAAAAAGAAAACATTTTCTGTGTGGCTCGCGCTGAAGTGTAAACAGGAGCTGAAGCCGTTGTAATAAAAGCAGAAGGGTCGAGCTCAACCAGCTTTAACAGAGACACTTATACATCCTGAAAACATTTACTTACGCCTTTTTAATGATGTAAAAATGTTGTTTTAAGTTTTTAAATCGCTTTTTAATAAACAAAGATATTTACCAAACTTAGATGAGGAACTGAAATTAATTTCTTTTCATTTTTTCTTCAGAGCTACTTAACAGATCTATCTTTAAGCTGGAGGACTTCTGGTAAACATATCAGTTCCTAAAATTAAATTCTGATCTCAGAAGCTCTAGAGGGACATTAAAATGCTTTTCTTGGTTTGTTAAGGGGCATTTATCTGCAGTTTCTCTTGCAGTTTGTAAATCAAAACTCAAATAAATAATGGAGTGGAACACAAAATTAAGTTATGATGTCATTTAAATGCTGTCTGAATTAAAAATAAAGCACTTAATTTTATAGACATCTAGATTTTCACATTTAGATACAAGAAAAAGGAATAAAATCAAACATTTTATGACAATAGTTTTCTCACACTAATCCAGAGCTGGAACATGATAAAAGCATGCTTTATAAATTTCCAGACGATGAGCTTGATGAGTGTTTAGACTGCCTTTATGACTCAGACTCACAATAAATCCCTTAACTAATGCTATATGTTTAATCATTTTCATGCTGATCCAGGAGAGGCATGGCTCGGTTGACAAATTCTGCCATTACATTTTTATTTTGTCACAGAAAAATCAGATCAAAGTGTCGATGTTGACATTCCTTTTTTTTCCTCATCTGATACTAAATGTGTGGCTTAGAAGAGGAAATATGTTTAAATAAACGAGAAGCTGCAGAACATGAAAGTAGCCTTGAGTTTCTTTCCTGAGCAGCTTCTGGTTAAAAGCTTCGTTATTTGGAGGCTGTGCAAAAAAAAGAAGTGGGAATCTGCCTCGATTTCCTCACATTGGTACAGATACAGAGTAATGAAAAGCTTTTATCTCTCCACTGACAGCCTGTATGAGGCAGAATGGAAACACCAAGCAGACATTCTTCAATGCTGTTTTTTTTTTAAGTTTGCCTCAGCTTGAGTGGGTTTGTGGCAGCCGATCGTCAAATGAGAGATTCTCATCTCTGAAGGAATGGCCCAGAGTTAAAGGCTCTACAAAAATCATGCATATTTCTTTTTCTTCAATTTTATTTGGCTTAATCACTACTGATTTTTTTACATTTTGTCCTGGAGGTAGAAAAATAAATGATCATTTGGCTCTAGTTAGTATTATTTTATGTTCTCTCACAGCCTGAATAATCCAGGGAACATTCATCGAGATTTGAAATCTAATTTACAAGAATGACTGGAGGAAATAACCGCACCAAAAGATATCGCACATAAAATCCAACAAATGACAAAATATCAGTGATCAGCCCTCATATTCAGTGGGCATGAGGGGCGACTCTCTGGATGACAGAGATCAGCACATATTCATGTAAACAGAACCACAAAAAAAGAAAATAAATAAAAAAGAATGAACAGCTTGGTTTTATACTTACAAAAGCATTGGCGTATTCAATTTTGGTTCCTTTCAGCTCAGCTTTGAATTGGGTGAAAAACAGGTATGACTTTCCCTGAGGCCTGAAAGCAATTAGAAACAGAAATGCTTCAGCTTGCAGTGCTGTGAAAATAGAGTTTCCTCCCCAAAGATTCCTCTAGTTTTGCTTTTCATATAGTTGAAGAATTCAGATGCACAAATTTTAATATCAGACATGAATGCTAAAAAAAAAAACCCAACAGAAAACAGTTTTTTAAAGATTAAATCAATTAGGGGAAAACTGGAGCCAATTTCACAAATGACCTTTTAATTATAAAACCACTGTTAACATGATTTAGACTAACATAAAATGAGTCTTTTACATTTGAAAAAAATGTTTGAATTACACGCAATCAGGGGGGTTTTGACCACCGTCAGTCTCTTTAAGGTCATCTACAGCTGTGTTTCCCAACCTTTTTTGACTTGTGTACCCTTTTTTATTTTTTATTACCATGAATACCAATCTCAGTCAAAAGTGGAACGTACAATAACTGATTGTAAAATAAAAACTATTTTACTTAATTTTTTAACTTGAGAATTTAATTATTGAACATTTCATTATTTCCATCTCAAATGAAAAAAAGTATAAATATGTTTCCTGGAAGTTCGTAAGGAATTGAAATAAACACAAAATAAAATCATATTATAAACCTGTATTTATAAAACAGGAGGCCCTTTATAATTACATTTAAACGTGATGAATTGGGAGCAGAATACAGAAATAAAATTATACTCAGACTTTGACTAGGTCAATCCAGAACCTTTTTTTATTTTTATTAGATCCAGGGTTTATACATGAATTCTCTTATTTAATGCTTTTTAATGCTCTTAGAAATAATCTTAATGCCATCAACAAATACCCATGACTTATGTATGTATGTATGTATGTATGTATGTATATATATACACACACACAGCAAAATCCTTCACCATCTTCACCATGAACAGGCTGCAGCCATGTCCCAAGTTCCTCGTTTTCCCGCCACTTTGGTTCAAATTTGCACTTTCCCCCCATTCTCTAGCCTTTTCTCCGCCTCAAGCTTCTTTTCCGAAGCATTTTATTTCCACGATTAGCAAATTTAATGAATTTTAATGCCAATTAAGGCCTTATTTAAAAAAAATAATAATTTAATGATTTTTAATGACCCGCGGACACCCTGTAGATCAGAATTCATAGTATGGGAAGCTGTCCTGTTCCTGGTCTGTTTTAATTAATTCAGATCCTCTGAAGACCATTTCTCTAAAGTATTGGGGATCATTAGGATCCTCTTTGGACAACTCAGACAAAGACCTTTCTGGGTTCCTGACAGGATTTTTTTTCCTCTCGGTTGGTTGGTAAATGTCATCAATCCTAAATTCAACAAAGCAATCAGAAAACAGAGCTGCATGTTTCCGGAAGTGAGGTGCATTTTATAGGTGGAGGACAGTGCTACAACCCCTGCTGCATGGGTAGTCATTAATTCATCATTAAGTGGAAAAAAATAAACTGAATTATTATAAAATTATGAAGCAAGCCTTTCAACAAGAGTGAAGTCCTCAATGTTTAAAATGTGAAATGTAGACAGCAACATCATCAGCACAGCTATATATTTTTTTTTATCATCTTGTGAAATTTCTTATTGACAGGACATTGACCAATCAGCTTACAGGATAAAACACATTCAGTCAAAACCCACAATTCCAATTTAAAATCCATTGCAGAGCTTAACACCTAGACTATGCTTTGCATCTGTAAACAGGCTAAAAGGTAATAGCTAGCATGTAAAATATTGTAACTGGGATTTTTTTTTTCTTTTTAAACACACATTATCTATGAATGCATAAAATGAAATTCTCGTTTTAGTAAACAATGATGGGAGAAAAAAAATCACAAGTACCCATCTTGATTTTTCAACGCAACATATAGAAGACTGGAAGTCCTGTTCATATGAATCTCCTCTTGGGGTTAGGGTGTCCAATGTGGATAAGGGCTCTTACTGCATCTCACTGGAGTCCCAGCACCATTATGTTTCTCTCCTATTCATTTTGGTGATAATATATTTATTTTAATCCTACTTCATGTTGTCAGACAGGTTCTATTCAATTGATTTTTCCTCTTGTGATTCAATTAAAACAATTCTGCAAACAGGAGTGGGGTGAAAAGTCCTTCAACGTAATGAAGAAGACTAACTGCTGCATAGCAGTTGCTGCTGCCAAAGGCAGCTCAACTGGCTGTTAAGTTTAGAGGACCATAACTAAAAAGAAACGGTCCGGTTGATGTAGGTGGTTTTCCTCTTCATTGTGGAAACTATAATCATTTCAAAAATCTCTATGTGCTCAGGTTACACTTGTTTGATACTAATGGTTTTGACAATCTGAACAATTTAAATCAATTTAAAGCATGCAGTCATGCTTGATTAAAGTCTGTATCGCCCTGCTAGAGGTTTTTATTTTAATCTTTTATGGCTCAACTGACTAAAATCAATGTGGAGGAGCTGCAGATGGGACGACAAGGGTCAGCAAACTGAAGACGAGGAACCGCCGCAGAAAGTTTGGTACAGTATGGTGAGTGGGCAGGTATTACTCATGTATTGAGGAAATGCATCTGTTCACATATAGTCACATTGTGGGCATGAGTCCTCCTTATTGGGACTGAGAGAACGCATCCATTTCAGGTGACGACATGTTTTGCATTCGAATCGAAGTGTGTGCAAGTTGTGTCTCACCTCCACACAGAGCAAGAAAACAGTCTGTCATCCTCGCTCAGGCCCACGCTCATCAGCCATTGCTGTTTTAAAGGAGAATAATATTTCACTGCTTTGCCAGCTGGGATTAATATTCAATGAAACTGTGGGAGACGAGTGATCAAGCAACAGCACATACCTCATTGGTTCCTCCTTGTGAAGCATACGTGAATGTGCACTCATACTCACTCTGAAACAAAATATTGAGAGGTTTGGAGCCAATAAGTGTTCAAGGAGCTTTAATAACACATTAATTAGTTGCTAATAAACTACTAACAAACAACATTGATTAACTGATGCATTATTCTTTCATACAGCTATGACATTTAATTTAAAAGTTAACCTGAAATTGATAGTTTACTTATAATAAAGTACTTTTCTTCTCCTGTTATTTTTGTAATAAAGATTCATAGATTTTTATTTTATCATTTTTAGCCAAAAGAAAGTTTTTTTATGCTTTTTCATTAGCAACTTCAATGTGTTTAAAATTAGCAACCTTTCAACATCACCTTAGGAATTCAAAATGTTGGCCTCCATAAACCTTTTGCAGTAGATCTCTGTGTAAAATGTTTAAATGCCCTCCAAGGTTGTAGTAACCCCTTTTTTAGAGATGTCCCAATAAAAAATAAATTTCCGACATGATATCGATATAGTAGCTTTTAGAATTGGCCGATACAGATGTTGACCTGATACACGATCAGCCCAAATCATCCATACTTGTATTACTCATTTTGGGTGGAACATTAGAAAGGCTTCATCAACTGTTTATAATTAGAACATAAACAATAGATATGAGTCAACTGGCCAAACTATTATTAACCAACATGTTGCAAAAATTTTGAACAGAAGCGAACATAAGCGGAGTGTTTCTATCAACTTGCTGATAACAGATTTTAAAAGCAAGCCAATATACTCTAATATTCATTTTGTGGCTGATTTTGGACTATTTTCCTCTATCAGTATCAAACCGGGCCATCCCTATTTTTGCATTTCTACATTTTTCCTTTCAAATCACTTTCTGGATCCAGCACCATGAATGGACAACTTTTTTGTTGTTGCAATTTTAGCCAATTCCTTATTGTCTTTGTGGAGGATGCAAGTCAGGCGTGTCAAACTGGTTCCAGAAAGGGCCGTGTGGCTGCAGGTTTTCTCTCCAACCAAGCAATAGCACACCAGACCCCAGTCATCTCATCAAGTGAGTCCAATCTGAACATGATGACTTGATGAGATGACTGGAGTCTGGTGTGCTATTGCTTGGTTGGAAAGAAAACCTGCAGAGACACGGCCCTCCCTGGAACCACTTTGACTTCCCTGGTGTAATTGATTGCTGTACAATTGCCAGGTCAGCAGACATCCCTGTGATTATGAGGGTAAGAATGTAACCTTTCTATGTTTGCATTATTTTTTTATTGGTCTCAGTAATATTTTCAACTTTCTGTGAAAATGAAGTTTTCATTACCTGCAATGATAACTGTTAAAATTAGCAGAAAAAAATATGCTACTAGAAAAGGATGCTTAAATTCATATTGTAATATATAGACTTCAGTGAGATGCATCCCCACGTCTGTTTATATTTATATTAGGGTTGTCAAAAGTATCGATACTCAAAAAAGTATCAATACTGAAACGTTGTATCCGGATACAATACTCATTTTCAAAAGTATCGATACAGTGCTACCTACCACCAGTGGCACCTAAGCAGTCATTCATCTAAAGTGCAGAATAGGGGACAATGCACTTTCAGAACACTGTGTAATTGAATAATTCTGAGCACTTTTTAGTTTCAGACTTTTTTTTTTCAGGTGCAGCTGCTGAGAATTATTTTTGTTTCTTAACTGGTTTGGCTAGTGTCATTGTTATGTGTGCAAAGCATAGCCAAGTAAGGAAAACTTTTTTTATCAAACTTGCTTAATATTGTGCACAGCAAACAACCTCAAAATATTGTTCTTATTGTTTATTGTATTTATTTATTGTATTTTAATTATTATTCAAAATATTTCTTTTGAAATTTTGGAGTTTTTATTCTTGAGGTATCGAAAATGGTATCGAGTATCGTATATTTTCCTTAGTATCGGTATCGAGTTGAAAAGTTTAGTATCGTGACAACCCTAATTTATATTAAAGATTTAGTAGAACAATCCTTCTCAGGTATTATTACACAGCAAAAGATTAAATGTGGTTTTGAACTTTATGTGATCCTAAGATAAGGAGGTATATTTAAAACAAAAACAACAACAAAGAACTTATTATGGAAATCACCTTATCAAATATTTGGTGACATTTTTCTATACGGAACATCAGCAAAGCACACAAATAATTTCCTGGTTTGCATGAGGAAATTATTTTTACTCAACATACATGAGCAGTTTTTCTTCTTAGTAAATAAATAACAATTAAAAATGTATATATTTTATACTGCGTTCCATTTAGAATATCGTTAAAGTTTAGGAAATGAAATACCTTATCAATAAAAATCTAAGAAAGACAAACAAAAACCCCTCGTCCAATCAATGAGGTCCTTGTGGCAGCTCAGCATAGACGTGTCAGCGTCTCACAGGCTGTGTCGTCATCATTAAGCGACTACACCTAAGCGGCGGAATGTAGTTTTTCCACTTTAGTCATTTAAAACAACTAATTACAGACTGTTAATTAATATGGCGTGCATTAATAACATGCGTTTTAAAATAAATATGTTGGCTTATATTATTACAGTAAAAATGTCTTAAATTGCTAACTAGGGGGAGGAATGTATAAACCGAAATAAAAAATAAACTCTCTTAATTTATAGCAACATAATCAAGAATCACCCGGGTTAAAAATAATGGCAGAATTATTACACATTGAAATTATGTTCAAGTACCATGCCAATGAGGTTAGAAGTAAAGAAAGGCGACTTACAATTCCCTCGGAGAAAGTATGCACAACTCCTCCTGGTTTAACGTTGAACTCTACAGTCTTTGTCCGCTCAGGCGACGATTTTCCCGGGACACACAGCGACATCAAAGCCCATAAAAGCAGAGGCGACATCTTCATGAAAAGCATAATTTTTCTAGCTTGGAATCGGTCTCCTCTGAATGTATGGTATGGTATTACCCTGAGCAAGCACTCCGAATGCGAAAAATGCCCCGTCGACTATTAACATCGTCAGACCCTACGTCACACTACGAACCAATGTCAGCATCTGCAAACACAAGTAGAAAACAAACATAGAAAAAAGTTATAAAAAAAATATAATTTGGGTGAAATTTTAAATTCATAACTTTAGGAACTGAATTTGGGTCAAAATTGACACAAGTGTTGTGTTACCAATCTCTACCACACGGTGTCGCAATTGTTCACATATTAGAACATCCATTCAAACCACAATGGACAGGTGGCAGCGTGATTACTTTTAGACATCTCAGACTTTTCCTTTCACGTTTTTTTCATTTTAGCCTGAACATTTTTACATTCATATTGTCATTTTATTTAGAATTATCCATCATTTTCCATTCTACCAAGTTTATTTATAAGTCAAGGTAAGTTCATTTATATTGTATGTTTAATTGGCAAGACAAAAAGTGATAAACTTGAAAAAAAATAAAAATACATTGACGTGGCCTAAAAGCAACAAAAATTGTTAGAGAACAGAAGTTAAAAAATAAAATAAGATAATTGTATTGAGGGGCTGCAATAAGGTTTGATTCCAGGCCTGGGGTCAAACACGTTTAACAGATGCTGTCAGCCAAGTGATTTTGTCTCACAGGAGACACCAACTTACCTGCTTGTATCTGTGGTTTCATGTCTCTGGAGCCGTTGAACCTACTCTGCGTCACAGATTAACATGTTTGCTTCAAGAGGAGACATCCCAACATTGTCTGGCACTCATGTGCAAAGCCCAGAAAACATTGTTACCATATGGGGCCAAATTTAGTCACATAACAACCAGCGATATTCAGCTGGGCAACCTTTTCACCCATATCTGCCCTCCCGTCCCTGCCTGACATCCACTTCTCCTCTTGCAGAGAAATTCTCTGGCAAATAAAACTGTCAGCCCAAAGAAAAACACTGAAACCGGATAAAGAACAGATGCCATTTACTCAAGAAGCAAACTAAGTACTTTAGTATTTATACAGCAGCTTTATTATAAAAAGCCTGATTGTCCTTATATAAAGAAAGGTCCTGTTAGATGTAGCGGTCAGACTCGCATACTTCTTGTGGTTCCTGGTAAATATTGTCCACTGTCATTAAGGCGTAAGACTGTCACAAGTGAGAAAATTATTTCCTCATTTTGTTTCCCCTCTACTGGCACAAATAGCTTTCACTCTTTGGTGTCAACAAACAATTGCCTGAGAAGTAAACACCAGCCACAGACAGCGAGCCAAAACGTCAAGAAGGTGCCAAATTATTTAACTGATAATGAAAACTCAATGCAGTTCAGACTATTCACTCAGTGGAAAACACTGAAAGCAAACACTTTTGTGCCTTGTTGGAAAGATTCTATCTATCTATCTATCTATCTATCTATCTATCTATCTATCTATCTATCTATCTATCTATCTATCTATCTATCTATCTATCTATCTATCTATCTATCTATCTATCTATCTATCTATCTATCTATCTATCTATCTATCTATCTATCTATCTATCTATCTATCTATCTATCTATCTATCTATCTATCTATCAAAAACTGATAAGTTAGAAAACTACTTTTTGTTTCAATTATAAGAGGATTTTTCAAAATGTGAACTATTCAATAGAGTTAAATACTAGTTTAAACACATTATATGAATTTGAGGCCCATGGTGGCTTCAGAGATCTGCAGTAAACTGATCATTTGCCCGGCCACCTAAAGTGGTGCACGCTGTTGTTCTGCTCTTCATTGAAGAGTGGTGAGAGACAAACTAAAACCCTGTTTGAAGTCTGGTGATTGTTTGCTGCTTTATATCAGTAATAGGTTAACTTCATGCATTATTTGTAATAAATTCTTGGACTAGTGATGCAAAGAGAACAAAATGCAGCCTTTTGTTATAGTGCATTGCATGCCAAATCATATGAAGTTGAGTAAAGGTAATTCATTGCACCAAATGAAGAATTGATAAAGAGCAGGCTAACATGGTGCATTAGAAATAATCCTTCCATAACAGAGATCTTCTATATTATTCCTTTTGTTTCCCTGGAGTCGGCCCTGTTGGCTCTGACATCCTGACAGTCTCAGACAGTTAGACTTTCTGATGCAGCCATACAGACAGTCTGTCCCCGATAAGAGCTGAGGAGCCACTGAGGTCAGCAGTTTGCAGATGGAGTTTTCCTGGCCATCACTGGATCTGTGGAATTTCTCTTCTCCTCGCCATCTCTCACAGGACCGGCCTGCAGCCCTGCCTATCGTGCATGGCCTGCACAGTCGGCACGCCACCCTGCCCTGAGCAAACAGCTGCCTGGAGGTTCCGTTGTGACCCTTAATCACCCTCAGACACAGAGCAGTGGCTAAACTCTGGGCTCCAAAAAGAAGCAATATTTGGCCAAGAGAATGAATGAAATCAGGTTAAATCTAGTCTAATATGATTGTATGTTCAAAAACATTGCAAAGGACTCTAACAGTTAGCCAAAAAAATATTATTTGAAAGGAACACTCCATTCAATTCACCGCCAAACCACCTGCATGCTCCTTAGATAAACATCCTGAGTTATTTCTGAATGACTTGAAATTTATCAAGATTTAGTGTGTGGGCATAGCTAAAAGGTAAAAGTTACTACAGTAAATGTGCATGCAGCTGTGTATCCGGAGTTCAAAAGCAAATCTGCCTTTAAAGTGATTATAAAAAAACATTGACAGGAATTTCTGTGTTTTTAAGTGTGGAGTGTTTTTCATGGATGGCAAACAGCTCAATTTAAAAGAGCCAGAAAGGAAATAGTGTTCAAAATAATTACCCATATTTATTATTTATACCCTTCCAGGTGCCAGCTACTTAACAGCGTGCCATGCCTAAACCCGGAGACAAAGTGCAAATAAACTGAGACGTTCCCAGGAGGCTGAATTGGAGTTACTGCCAGACGAAGAAATGTTTTCCCAATCAGTCACCCGCTGCAGCTCAACACAACAAATACACAGAGACAGCCTGCTGGGGTGATGCAGTGCTTCTTATTTTCCTGTTTTTTCCAGACCTGAGCATGCAAAGTGGAATCACTGAATGTGTTTTTTTCAGAGTAGTAAGCCAATGAACCAGCAGACATTAAAATACTTAAATGTTGTAATGTGATGTTTTTATTAACAGGAACATCGGAGATTCAGACATGATTTTTAATGGAACCCCTGTGTATAAACAGAGGTCAAGAAAAAACTGAGAGAAACTAAATAATATTGTGTAATTCAGCTCAGTCCCAAGGTGGAAAAGAACACCTCAGGTAACATTTCCCAAAACTCAACTTTATTTATAAGGCCCATTTAAAACACACCTGGAACTCAAAGTGCTAAATAAGGCAACACCAAAACACAAAACAACATGCAACACAACACATTAAAACAAGCCAAAAAACAAATTATACAATTACACAACAAGAAATTCAGAAGTAATGCAAAAAAGTGACCATTCTACTCTGAAACTTTATTTGTACTTAAGGACACTTTACAATCATTTATGTGAACCTCTGGCACATATTTTATTTGTGCATTGCAGACATACAGTTATTAGTTGGCCTCTTTGTTGCGTTGCTTGTAAACCTGTTCATATAAAAAAAACTTGGCTTATTTTTTGCTGCAACATATACAGACTCCTTTACACCTATTAAAAGGCTTGGTACAGATGCATAACAACCATCTAAATATATATATTAATCTTCTATTACTGTAACATTACTCATATTGAGGGAAAAGAATGGACTTTAATTAATAAGTGTGCGTTTATTTGGTAGGGATAAAAACGCATGAAGAAATAATTGCTTACACATCTTTACTTTGTACTCTGTAAAAAAAAAAAAGGATCGTCAAATGAATACCTCTTAATTTGATGAGTATCCAAGAAGTGTCTTAAATTGTAATCCATATGCCACAGAAGCCTGTTTCTCTTATCCTCTCTTCAAACTGGGAAAGACAGGAGGACGTCCCATCCAAGACAGATGTGAGCAGATCTCAATAACTCAGGATATGGCTGCAAGAAAGCATTTACTCACCTAAGTCTGCTCATATCTACAGCTAACGCAGAGCTGGAGCTCTGAGGAGTAAATAAGGGCCTCGGTTTGACCAGGCATCATGTGCATTGATGTTGAAGAAGGTAAAATCTTCAACGCTCATGCATAGAGAGGATCCAAAATTCTTTAAAACAGTGACTAGACATCTTTAAATGTCACCTTATTATTTGGGAGAAATATCCTAATATTTTGGGAGGAACAAGCTTTACAGTTTGATCACTGCAAACATAAATTTGTGTAGTTTACGGAGCAATATTGGGACTTTAACTGGAGCAATACACTTTGGTCAGATGATTATGAAGCAGTTTATGGGTAAAAAGCAGCCCGGAGGGATCTGCTGTAAAATAAGTACCGGTATTAATTAAAAGAAAAGCTTTTCAAGCTCACTGTGAAGAACCAACCTTCTTCTATGGCCTTAGTCCTCAGACCTTAATCCACGATGCCTGAGGTTGCATGAAGAAAGGAGAGTAAAGTATAAGAAAGAGGACTCTGGGTAATCTAGACAGTTTTTTTTTCAGGAGGAAGGGTAAATATGTCTTATGTGTTTCCACCCGATTCCAAACAATTACATTGAAAATATTTATTTGTTATTTAAGATTTTCTTCCCCTCTTATTAAGTCTTCTAAAATGGTTTGATTCTTTTAACATTGAGAGAGAGCCTAAATAATAGAAGAAAACAGACCTTTTTGAGTATTTTTTACACTTTTTAACAGGCTTGCCAGTAATTAGTGGGATGTATATCATATATAAGGCTACTTTATTGGTAAAAAGTGAAACAGCATCCAAACAATAGCAGCTTTACTTTAAGAATAAAAAGGCATGTCTGTGTCTTCTGCAGGTCAGCTCCTGGAAAACACAGACAGCGATGATTAAGATTGTGCTTTCTCTGATTGAGTCAAGATATAAATAAGAGGTAGATGCTCAAAATGTGACTTACAAGACAATCCTGCAGTTTCTTGCCTGGACGTAGCTTCCTGT